CGGCGCGCTCACCCGCAGGGCGGACAGGTCGATGTCGTCCAGGCTGCGGGCGGGGGCTGGGTCGCCCATGGCCTCCGCGGGGAATGGGGCCCCGGAGCCGCTCACGCTCCCGCTCGGTTATTCCGCTGCCGCCGTCGCCACTTCTCCCCCATCAGGGGATCCTAGGGGCGGACACCACCGAGGAGGGGGAGGGCCGGCGGGAGGACCGACCCACCGGCTGACAGGAGCTAGCGCCCGGGAGCCTGCAACCCGAGCCGGCCGACTCTCCTGCGCAGGCGCGCAGTGGCGGTGCGCCGGGAGGGTGGACGAGGGAACGTGACGCGAGCGCGCCGGGTTCCCCCTCCCCCTAGGCGCCGACACCTGCGCGCAAGCGCAGGAGAGGTAGGGAAAGGCGCGCGTGAGGGCTGAGCGAGCGCGCGAGCGTGGCTTGAAAGAAGTGGGCGGCGGCCGAGGCGGCCGCGGAGCGCGCCCACCAGCTGCCGCGCGTGCGCACACGAGTCTCCTTCCCTTCCCGTTTTTTGCTTTCTCTCCCCCATTTTCTTCTTAGTTCTCCTTTGACGCCTTTCCTTCTCTTTCCCTCCTCTGTCGTGTGCCCAGCTGCCAGTCAAGCCACCCACCTATTTGCAGGGGAAGGGGGAGGAACCCAACCCTCTCTATTACTAGGGGGGTTGTTATGGTAACTCCCCACGCGAGGGCTGGGTGGCCTCTAGATGGGATGGGCTGTCCACCCACCTAATTGCCATGGCAACAGTGGAGCCGCTGAGGGAGGGGCCTCTCACTGGGAAGTTGGCTGGAGAAACCGCAAGGGAGTTGGGGGTATAGCGGGTGGGACTAGCTGCCCCAAGACCCCTTGTCCCCTTCCCTGGCTGGAGAGGGTGGTGGAGGAGAGCTCAGATCTCAGGACAGGTCCTCTTACCGCAGACTGCACTCTCTGAACCTCCTGTTCTGCACAAAGGAACTGTTTCAACAGTTATTCCTTGACTGATCACTGAAGCCACGTGTGGGGGAAAGGATGGCGTGGGGGGGGGGATCTGCCCAACCCCTTCAAATCGTGCTAGGGTCACCTTGGGTTTAGTCATGTTGGCACAGCACCCACACCTGTTAGCCTCACTAGAGGCCGGGTAATTCCATGTGAAGAACAAGGAGTCATGTTCTGCCCTTGACATGCTGTGTGACCTTGAGCAAGTTGCTTTGCTTCTCTGGGCGTTTTTTTCACTGTGATGCTAAGGGAAAAGGCTGATCCTCAAGATCACTTTACAAAACAATACTATCCTCTCAAAGACCCCACCACCAGCTTTAATGTAAACATCACTCAGGAGCGTTTGAATAACGAAAAGTCCCTGGAAAGGGGCAAACACCCTCCTTTCTGGATCCTTCTCCTTAGTACTTTCAGGTACACATCCAGACTTGCTCCCCTGCCCTCCTATTTACCTTGCCATTGTCCTTGTCCAAGCCACAATTGCTTACCTCCATTACTCTTATCAAGTCTCCTACTTGGTCTCCTTGTCCAACCCCCTTAAATCAATTTTCTATATCCATAGTGATTTTTCTAAAACTCAAATCTGGTATCACTCTCCTATTTAAGACCCTTCACTGGCTCCCCACTGTCTTTTGAGTAGAGCCTAAAGTGTGGCATCAAAGACTCTTCAAGGTTCCGCCTGCTTCTCCTGGTTTGTTTTTTCAATATTCCACCATTCAACCCCACATATTCTATCCATACTAAAATCCCAGTTCTCAGAACTCAACAAACCCTCCTCCAGCCTTTGCACTTCTGTTTGTTCTCCCTGGAATATTCTCACCATGCCCACTGCCCTTTGTTTTGTGTTACATGTTTTGTCCTAAACTTCCTCCATGAAGCCTTCCTTGACTCACTAAGATTGAGTTTGGCTCTTCTGTTTATACCTGGCTTAAAACCCATGGCAATATTTAACGCTTTGAATTGTAAATGCCTGTTGAATCTCCTTAAGGACAGGAATTATGCCAGCTGTGTTCAGCACAGGGCCTGGCACCAACTAGAGGTTCAGTAACACATAAGTGAATGAAGGCATGAAGGCCTCTGTTGTCTGAGTAAGCACAGTGATATGTAGTAATTCAAGACCATGGATGGTAGGAAAAAGCATAGAGTTTAAAGTTAGTGCTTTGAACAAGTCATTAAATCTCTGAGGTTCAATTCTATCATCTATAAAATAGAGCTAATAACAGGGAGGGTGATATAAAATAAAATCGTATGTAAAGCACTTGGCATATACTAGGTCCTCAATAAACTTACTAATGGCTGACTCATAGTGTTTAATGAAGAGATACAGAACCCTTGAATGAGCAAATTAAGATCACAGGGATAGGATAAATGGCCATCCAAACCTCAAGAGGCAGTTAATCTGGGGGATAGGGGAGGAGAGAAAAACAAGATTGGCCCAGTGCTGATGATTATCAAAGCTAGAGTATGAATTCGCAGGTACATGAGGCTTCATTGTCTTATTTCCTACATTTAAATGTACAGGCTTGGCAAAAGTAGGTTTACAGTTGAGTGTAAGTGAAACAGTTTATTCTTGTATTATTAATTTATTAATTATTGTATTATTATTATTAACCTACTTTTGCCCACTTTGTGTGTGTGTGTGTATGTGTGTGTGTGTGTGTGTGTGTGTGTGTATATATATATATATATATATATATATATATATATATGAAATGTGTCCTTAATAAAAACTTAGAGACAATGAGGTAGAAAAAGTCCTGGATCAGGCATGAAGAAAAGCTAATATATTAAAAATGAGATGAATTGTAGTACCCCTGGAGGAAATGAATGAACATTTTACACAGGCCCAGTCACCCTCAGTGCCTCCCACCCACCTTGGGAGGTTGAATTTGTTTTCTCCAACCTGGGTCTAGAGCAGGGATTTTCTTTTAATTTTTTTAAATTGATTTTGAGAGATAGGAAGGGAGAGAGAGAGAAATATCGATTTGTTGCTCCACTTACTTATGCACTCATCAGTGGCTACCTGTATGTGCCCTGACTGGGGGTGGAACTCACAGCCTTGGTGTGTGGGGACTGTGCCTCAAACAACTGAGCTCCCCAGCCAGGGCCATGCGAACATTTTCAAGAGCTGTCTGGTGTGAATTATGCTTTTTTTTTTTTTTTTTTTTTGGTCAGGTTGGCAAAAATATATTTTTTGGTGCGCCACAGAATTTTAGTAATTATGTATGCCGTGAGGTAAAAAAGGCTGAAAATCGCTGGTCTAGAGCCAACTCTTCCTATTCCAAGCCCAATACTCTTTTCCCTGCACTGTGGTGGCCTCCGTTCCAGAAACTCCTGGACAAATGTGTGTGGGGGTTGGGGGAGGATAGACCAACAGTGTGAAGCAGAAACCCACCAAGCCCAGCCCCTGGCGGCCACTGCCTCCACCCCACTCGGCAGCTAATGAGGTAACGGTCCCCTAGGGAAAGAGGCACTTAGTGCCAACAATGAGGCTAATTAGCAGGATGCCAATTAGTGCCAGGGGACCGCTAAATGTGGGAGGGGGAATTTCATGTGTGGAAGTGGCTTCTTCAGAGGGAGGACTGGATTTGAAAAGATGGGAACAGACAGTAGCACTTCCCCTTTCCACATCGTCACCCACCAGCACACCCCTCTTCCAGGAAGGCTTCCTGAACTCCTCACTCTACTCCCCTGTGGTCAATCCTGAGACTGTAGAGTGAGGCTTGGGGGAATGAAGGGCAAGAGCCATGACCTGTGCTAAAGTTTTTTCTAATTGCAAAATATTTCATATATATAAAAAGATATGGCCCTGCTGGAATGGCTCAGCAGTTGAGCATCGACCTAGGATCCAGATCAGGGTTCGATTCCCAGTCAGGGCACAAGCCTGGGTTGCGGGCTCGATCCCCAGTAGGGGGCGTGCAGGAGGCAGCCGATCAATCTCTCTCATCATTGATGTTTCTCTCTCTCTCTTCCTCCCTCTTCCTCTCTGAAATCAATAAAGATATTACAAAAAAAAAAGATATGAATATCTCTAAGTTCATATACCTACCACTCAAAAAATAAATCACCAATTCACTGATGAGCTCTCTGCATATGCATTATGCCTTTTTCTCCACCCATTTAGGAGATAGTCCTTCTCAATCTGGTATGTGCTATACTCTTTTGTAGACTATACTAAAGACTATACCATTTATTTTCTCTCTTCCCTCCCTCTGGAGCAGCGACATCCAATAGAACTTTGTACAGCGATGGAAATGGTCTATACCTGCGCTGTCCAATGTACGAGCCACTAGCAACAAGTGAGCACTTGAAACTGACTTGTGTAAGTGATAAACTAAATTTTAATTATTTCTAATTTTAATTAGTTAAATATAAACAGCCAAATGTGGCTCCTGGCTATTGTCCTGGACAGTGAAGCTTCAGGACATATGTGCCTAAGTGCCCCACAAGGGTGGGGGCTTTGTTATACTCACTCCTGTGAGTCTAGAACCGTGTCTGGCAAATAGCAGGTGTTCAGTAAATATTTCTGTCAGTGACTGAATCTTTACAGCAAGCCAGTTATGTATTATTCCCATTTCCCAATTGGGATCACTAAAGCCCATAAGTGATGTGACTTGAGAAGACACCTTGGTAATAAGTGACAACTCCAGGATTTGGACCCTGTTCTTCCTGACCTTAAGCCTACACCCTTAACCCCCTCAAAAGGGGCTTCCCTTAGCTGTCACTTGAGGAACAGGAGACAGCTCCTCCAGGCCCTTCACTGTGCACCTCCTTCATCTGCAACTGCAACATCAGCTCCACTGAAACCAGGTGTCCTGGTTCCTTCTACCAAGCAGCACTATGTGAACTTCCCCTCCCAGCACCTAGGTAACTGAGCTCCCAAAGCCACAGACAAGTACAGTGGAGATGGAGATGGCAGAAGGAAGAAAGGAGTGGGGCGGCAAGGTGAAGAAGCCTGGTGCTGTGTGTAGGCAGGGAGGGGTGGCTGAGACAAGTACTCACTTTGACTGAGGAAGAGGCATGGATTTTTCCTACACTTTTATTTATGAAACGCTTATTGAACTGATACAAAATTAGTGTCTGTCAGCAGGCTGGCGGAGGGAATCAGTGTGCAGCCTCCGCCTCTCCCCACTGTGGGGGCTGAAGCCAGGAGTGCCTTCATTCTTCTCTCCACCCGGGCAAGGGTGGGCTGGGAGAGGCCCTGGGGCAGAGGAAGGGAGAGATGGGAAGGCTTGCCCAGCATCCTGGCAGGAGTTCCGCTTCTCCTCTGTAGCAGTGGTTTGAACTGGGCAGCAGGGAAGGTGAACTTCTCTGAGACCCTCTCCTGCCTCCCCAGCCCAGGGTTGGGAGTGTCCTCTTTGGCTGCTTCTCAAGAAAGGGTCCTCTGTCAGTTCTCTCATCCCCTTCAGAGATGCTGCCTCCCACAGGTCTCAAAGGGCACTGTCCTCAGTCCTCAGGGGCAGGGGGCAGGGAGCCAGACTTGGTGGAGCCCAGCAGCTGGTGACATCTTCTGGCTGGAGCCTAAGCTATGTCCACACTTCTATGGGCATCATGCCCTCCTTGCTACTCAGGGGGGGCAACAAAGACTCATCCTCCAGGAACTTGAGGGGAAAGTGGACCAGGTGGCCCTGGACCTGGGTGAGCTCAGACCGGGCCAAGGGAGGGCTGACCATGGCTAGGGGCTCCACAGCCACGTACTCCCGGAGTGCCCGCAGGGAACGTGTGGCGTTGGATGGCAGGCAGCGGAAGATCTGGGAGGGAGGGGGTGTATGGAAACCAATAAGGCTTGGGGAGACTTTGCCAAGAGCCCAAGCCCCACTGTGCTGGATGCCACCATCCCCACACTGACCCTGAACCACTGAATCTCATGATATGCCCCTTAGAGTCTCATGTCCCTTCTGAGAATGGCTGTGTGGTGGGGCTTCTCTCCATCCCATCCTAAACATGATAATCCATGAATTTCCCCCCTGCCCATTCCCCTCAGCTCCCACCTGCTCATAGATATTGGCATTGTTCTCAGCCGTGTCTTGCCACAACTGGAAGAAGTCATCACAGACAGGGTCTCGGAGATCCAGGTCTGGCCGGGCATCTGCCCCGAGAACCACGCTACAGGAGAAAGGGGTCCCAGCAGGGCCAGATTAACATCCTTAGAGAGCCTGAACACCAGGAAAGTCATGCTGTGCCTGCCCAGGTCATTCAAAGTGGATGCAATGATAAATAGTAAAACAGTATCAATGAGGCCAACACAGCCTTCATTTGTCTCTACTTTGGTGACTACTTCGATGCTTTAAAAAATATACCAAATTATTTTAAAAGTATTTTTTCTCATTTTTTGGTGTCCCTACTTTGCTGACACCCCAAACTTGATTAGTCTGCCTATTGGGAAGTCCAGTACTATGTCTAGGCAATCCTGCCACCTGCTCAAAAGGCAGACCCCCTTCGACCTCCCGCCACACCCTGTAGCACCCACCAGGCTCTACCTGAAGCAGTGCTTCCGCAAACTCAAGGCAAACCTGCCCGCTTGGTACTCTGCACCATCCATGAGGGATGGCTCCATCTCCGTGTCCTCAATCAGCACGGCCAGCTCACTGTCCCGCTTCCCCAGCAGGCTCCGGTCATTGATGTTCGCAGAGCCTGGGGCGGGAGCAGGACACATTGTCTCTGTCTGAGCCCGGGGGACCCCTCCACCCCATCACTTCTACCAGAGCACATGCCTGTGGGCAACACACCTTGGGCCTTCATCCCCAACTGGGCCTCAGCGGCAGCTCCCTCCCTTCATCCTGTTGCCCCCCACTAGTCCTGCTCTACCCCTCCCACCCTGCTCTCGCTGCCAGGGACCCGGATCCAACACTGACCAATGATGACTGTCCGGTCATCAGCAATGAGCATCTTGCTGTGGATGTAGATGAGCTCTGAGACTGGGTGCCCACCCAGCTCTCCATGTGTTCGGAGCCCACAGATGGATATATAGTCCCTCCATGCTGTCCCCACTGTAAGTACAAGAGATTGGGAGAAGGGGGAGTGAGATGAGAAGCGTCCTCCCTGTGCAGACGGAGCCCTGTCCCACCCACCTCCTCACTTCAGAAGCTCTTGAGAGCCCAGTCTGTATACTTCTCCCTCCAGTGAAGGACCACCTGTGGTCTCAAGGCAGTAGCCTCAGAAGCACATAGGCACAATAGATTCCTTCCCTCCACCTGGGTCTCCAGGTCCCCCATCTCCCCCTCCCCAGGGGTCCAGGGTTTGAATCTCCAATCCCCAGAACTCACTGGCTGCTTTGAGGCGATGCAGGACTGAATATTCTCCACGACACAGGGTCCTGAGGGAAAAGAATGGGTGAGAGAAATAAAGGCTGGAGGAGGGGACGGGGAAGTCAGGAGAAAGGGAGACCTCAAAAGTCTAGTGGGAAGGGATCAGGATAGAATCAGGGCGGGGCATGGGTGAATGGGGCCATGGAGACCCCATAGGAGGTCACCTGTAAGTGAAGTGCAGAATGGCTTGGATGGAGTTACCACCACCTGTGGAGATGTCACCCTCAAATCCAGGGAGCAGGGGCAGAAGCACGTAGACTCGGAAGCATTGCCCCTGTCTGGGAAGGGGGTAGAGTCAGAGGTGTGATTTCTCCCCAAAGCCCCACTCCTCCAATTGGGCTTAAACTACACCCTCAATCCCCCACTCCTGCCAGTCCACCTTACTTGTGGGCCTTCAGGATTCTGTCCACAATCTCATCGCCCACCTTGTTCAGAACTGTCCGTCCATCTGAGCAGCTAATGAAGAACTGATTCTGGGGCAGGGACCAAAGAGACATCAGCAGCAAGCCCCTGCCCCAGCTCTCAGCTCCCAGCTGCCATCCCCATCTCCAGGCCCCAGCCCCAGACATCTGTTTTTCTCCAGGCCCAGCTACACCAGCCCACAACACTGATCCCACTGACATCCTAAATCTTTCTCCTGGGACATTCCCTCCATTCTCTCCTCTCCTCCGCTGTCAAACCTCAATGTAGAGGAAGTGCTGGCTCTCCCTGATGGTGTGCAGGTAGGCATTGAGGATGGAGTTCTCCAAAGTCCCTGCTGACCAGCGGTCCACTGACCGCAAGACCTGGGGAAATGGCAAACATGATATGATTCCTGACCCCAGGAGGGGAGGATCTGGAGGGCTCTAGGGCCAAGGAAAGTGTGCTGAAGAAAGGGAGGGGTGGGGGCAGGCTGAAGTCGGGGGCTCACCTGCACGGTGGCACACTGCCCCCCTGGGAGTGTGAAGGGGAGCTGGTTTGCGGTGCTGGTAGACTTGGGCAGCAGGTAGGGGTACATGGGTGTCTTGTACTTGGCCTTGGTAGTCTGAGGGGGAGGGGTGGCAGAGTCAGTGGGAGGTGGCAAGCCTTCCCCTAGCTCCCTCCCAACCTCCAGCGCCCACAGGAGGGAGTAAGCACCTTAGTGAAGTTCCAGCGCTGGATGAAGTGCCGGGCCAGGTCCCGGGCAGGTGGGCCATGGACAACCACCCCAACATCCCGCCATGGCATCCGGGCTGTGGTCTTCCTGTCAATGAAATCTGGGGATCCCGGAAGTGTCAGAAGAGAGGTCAGAGATGGTCTCTTGGGGACATATGAGGCAGGGAGGAGGAGGAATTAACCAGAGGGAAGGCTGCATCAACTTGACCCAGCTTGTCCCATTCTCAGTCCCAGCCCTGACTTTTACCCCTGCTCCCAATTCTCAGGGACTTTGTGGAAGGGGACCCTCACCTTCAAAAGGCCGGTCCAGCTGTACCCAGTCCTTAGTGATAAGATTGCTGTAGTCCTTGCCCAGCCAGAAGAGTTGGTTATGAGAGATGTCTGGAGAGTCTGAGCACGGGGTAGGTGGCTGTGAGGGGAACACACCCAAGCCATGGGCAAGGAGAGGTCATGGGGGCCATACAGAGCCAGAGCCAAAGAGAAGATAGGAACACTGAAAGAGCATGAGACAGAGACACAGAGACACAGAGAGTAAGAATGAAACAGAGAGAGTCTGATTTCCCAGCCCTCCCCTTCAGCTGCACTTTACTAGAGGAACTGGGCATGGGGG